TATGTGAATATCCAGCCCACCATTCAGGCCAATTCGTTTGAGTCGTACAAAAAAAACCCTAATCAAAACATTCACCTGCCTACAAATTTCAACAACCAACAAACAAAGCTCAACGAAATAAGCTTTCGTGGAGCTTTATCGGGCTTTCTAGTTAGATGTTTACTTAACTTCCAAGCTTTGCTACTGGACGTTTGTTTTCACAGTGAAGCTTCCATGTTAGACGTTTGTCTACCTTATAAGCTTAGCTTGTGGACGTTTGTTTACACAGTGGAGTTTCCATGTTTGACGTTTGCCTGCCTTACAAGCTTTGCCTCTGGACGTTTCACATGGCCTCAAACTTTCTATTTTGACGTTTAGCGGCATAATAAACCTGCAATGTAAAAGTTTTAAATGTGTTGCCTCTTCTCATTTAGACGTTTCTCTTCAGGGTCGGGCTTCGTATTTGGACGTTTCTTAGGCTTCAAGCTTAGCCCTTAGACGTTTGTCTTCACAGTTGGACTTTTTTGTTGGATGTTTCTTTGCCTGCCAAGCTTAGCTTTTAGACATTTCTTTGACTTCTGAACTTAGTTGATAGACGTTTGAATGCATTTTTATCTATTATTTTTTTTTTACCACAGGGATATTTTTATAAATTTACAATTTTTTAATATTTTTTTCAGACGACAAGTAGTAATTTAGGGCGACAAATAATAACACCCAAACCAATTGGTGACGGAAGAAGTAACCCACTTAACTTATATACTATATATGCTCATTTTCCTTAATCAATGTAAGACAACTCACGCGTACTAGTATATACTAGATATAGATACAATAGTAATAATAGTTGACTGATTTCTAATATTTGCTTTGTCACGTTACAAGTCCGATGCCCCATTTTGATAATTTTTATTTATTTATTTCCTGTTTTGATGAATTTCCATGTAGAGAGTCGATCAAAATCACTCCATTTTTTCAATCACTCCACCTGGACATTAACTAGTCAACTTGGAGGAATACAAGAAATAAAGTTTGTGAAAGTTTACAATAAATTTTCACTTTCTTTTCACCATCACTTTTGTCCAAAACCAAACAACGCTCTTGCTTTTTGTCCTTGCATTCATCTCCAACAAAGGTAAGAAACGCTGATTTCTCATATTCTTCTCTTCTTTTCCTTGTGGGTTCATATGAATGTGATGGTTGACATGATTTCCAGTTTTCTGCATTTGGTGAGGCAATCAGAGAAATAAATAATGCTTTTTTTTAAGGTTGTCTAGAATTTGTTGATCATTTCCATATAATGTGGTCCACAATTTCTTGATCTGCTTAGTTTTGGATGAGTGCTGGTGTGTGTGTATGTGTGTGTGTGTGTGTGAGAGAGAGAGAGAGAGAGAGAGAGAGAGAGAGAGAGAGAGAGAGAGAGAGAGAGAGAGAGAGAGAGAGATGAGTAAATGTGCAGAATTATAGCATATGATTCTGTGAATAGTTTGATTTATATTGAAAGCAGGTGAAAGAGTGTGTGGAAAATCAGAGTTTGGTATTCACCTCCCACAAAAAGTATTTTGCATTCATTGGCATTGTCATATTTGATGTTGATGATAATATTCAAATCAGAGAAAGAAGAATTTGTTGATTTATCATAGTGATCAACAGAAAGAAGGTGTGTGTGATGGTGCTGGGCCTGAAATCATCAAAGCAGAAAAGGGGATCCTTTGTAAGAGCCGAATACATAGTTCAGGTGAAGGAGATCCGGCCATGGCCCCCATCTGAGCCCCTCAAATCTATCCAAACTGTATTCCTCCACTGGGAAAACGGCAATGACAACTCGGGGTCATTCATCTCTGTGGCCGGCCACGCAAACATCGCGTTTGACGAGTCGTTCATGCTCCCCACCACCTTCCACCACAAGAAATCGGGCAACAAGTTCCGGAATAACTACTTGGAGTTCAGGCTGAAGGAGCCCCGTAAGGGACAACTCCTGGGGACGGCAGTCTTTAACCTCACAGATTATGCCTCGATCGAGGAGGATGTGAATGTTGATGTTGATGTGCCTTTCGACTTTAACAACACTCCACACACCCAACCAGCTCTCGCCATCACTCTACAGCTGCTCGGGAGGGGAACCACTTCTTCTGCCTCGTCCCCAGGTGTCGGCTTTTTCTCTAATGATGATGAAGATGATTCCGACGACCTCTCTTCTTCTCACTCTTCAACGACTAATGCCTCTTCATCTTTTGAGCCTTTTATTGACGACAAGGTCTGCCTTTTTTATTCTTACTTTTTTCTTCCACTGTGTTCCGTATCTTGCTGCATGTGGCAGCTTATCTGAACCAAACAAAATGTTAAAATCTATACAACTTGATGGCTTTAACGACAAAACCCTTTTCTCAGATTAGTGTAATTATTGTACGATATCATGAATGGTTTTTATTTTTTGTCTTAAGACACTATGATTGATATGAGGCTTTAACTAAAGTATGATATGATATAAGGCATTCAACTGATTTGGAATTATAAGTTGCAGAATGGATTCGACACTCAAAAAGATGGAAACAAGAGAACACAGAATGCATCATTAGACACTTGGAACAAAGTAAAGGACTACGTCTCGCTTTCCAAATTTTCCGAACGAAGCATGTCGTTTGTCAAGAAGAACTCGGCCGCCCCCTTGGTTATATCTTCTCCCATATCAGTCACCTTACCGGACAATGAGAGGTTCAACAGCCTACTCAACAAAACACATCACGATACCCAACAAACTGTGGAAGACAAATCAAAATCACTGCATGCTGGCTCAGACGAACAGAGTAAATTAAAAGAGAAATTCTCCGAAGATGCTTCTGGAAGGCCGGTTACATTGAGGAGTGATACTGTCGTTCCGAATAGGAAAGGACAAGGAATTCCACCATCAGGCAGCAACAAAGCCCGGTTAAAGCACGCGAAGTCCGTACAAATACATGGTTCAGTTAAAGGAAACGGGTTTCCAGCAGACACGGACATACCAAATGGTTCCCAAAACAAAGGAGGCGATATTAGTCTGCCGGCAGAATGTAAAGATTCGAAAACTGATGTCTTTGAATGGAAAACCAGGGCTGAGATGCTTGAGGAGGAACTGAAGGAAACAGCAGTAATCGAGGTCGCTTTATACTCGGTGGTAGCCGAGCACTCGAGTTCGGTCAACAAGGTTCATGCTCCAGCTCGGAGGCTCTCGAGATTTTATAAGAATGCTTGCTTGGCCGGGTCTCAAGCTAAACGGGCTAGAGTAGCTAGAGCTGTTGTATCTGGTCTAGTCCTGGTTTCTAAGGCGTGTGGGAATGATGTCCCCAGGTGGGTGGTTTAGGAGTGCTGAATGTGAAATTTTGTATTGTTGTTTTGGCAAATTTTCATGGTGAAAATTAAATCCATTTACATTTTGAGATACAGGCGTGTACTGTCGTTTTATGTATTTTTATTTTTATTTTTGTTCACTTGAGATGCAATAATTGAAGCTCAGAGTCCATTGTAACCTATAGCATCTGATTAGCTTATGTGCAGTCTCTTGCTGTAAGTTCAACCTAATCGAAGTTGTTTTTCTTACAGGCTAACCTTCTGGCTATCGAATGCAATAATGTTGAGATCAACTGTTAGCCAGATTGCTGCAGAGTTGCCACATTTGAACGGACAAAGACAGCAACAATCTACTCCAATTCAAGAATCTGACAACTGTGAAGATGTCTTGACAATGATTATCGCTCTTGAAAAAATCGAGTCTTGGCTCTTCACTAGAATTGTTGATTCCGTATGGTGGCAGGTCTTCTCTCTCGCTCTCTCACCTGACTAATTTTTCGTTAAGTTGAAGAATTTTGGAGACAGCTAATTTTTTCTAATATTATTTTCTTTATTGTAGACGTTTACGCCTCATATGCTTCCGACAGTCGAGCAAGGCAGTCAAAGAGAGAGAATAACCAGAGGAGCAAAGAAAGCGATTAATGGAAGACGAAACTATTTGGGTGACCAGGGAAGTTTCTCCATCGAAATATGGAAGAAAGCATTCAAAGATGCATGCGAAAGGCTTTGTCCGATTCGGGCAGTCCGGCATGAATGCGGCTGTTTGTCTGCACTTATCACGCTGGTATTTGACCAATATCATCATGGACATGCTAACATACAAAAATGACACCATGTAACTTCGAAAAAAAGTACATAACTTTACTTGATTTGATTTTTTACTTTGAAGGTCATGGAGCAGTTAGTTAACAGGCTTGATGTGGCTATGCTCAACGCCATTCTGCGCGAATCAGATGAGGAGATGCCAATGGATCCTGTATCTGATCCGATTACTTACTCGAAAGTACTTCCAGTGCCGGCTGGGAAATCGAGCTTTGGAGCTGGTGCCCAGTTGAAAAATGCTGTAAGTATTGAAAAACGATTGATACTTTATATAATCTAGTGTAAATCCTTGTGTACTCATTTTCTGAAGATTTGGTTCTATATATAAATTGACTTCCATCAATTTAGTGTATGTGCTCAAAACAGGTTCTCTGTTTCTTGCAGTTGGTTTAATTAAGAAGGTTGTTGAGTATTTCTTGTTGTCTTGTAGATTAGGAACTGGTCAAGATGGCTTAGTGATCTGTTTGGATTAGATGATGACGACGAGTTAAGTGAGGATAAGAGAACAAAATGTTTCAAGGCGTTTCGACTCCTCCATGGATTGAGTGATCTCATGATGCTTCCTTTTGAGATGCTTGCTGATATTTCCACCAGAAAAGAGGTACAAAAATGGCCCTATCAATTTCTATTTTATTTTTCAAGCACACACAAAAAAAAAAAAGCCAGCATCTCTTTTAGTTCTTTTTAATAGTTTTTTTTCTTTTGGTTTAAAATGAAGGTTTGCCCGATGTTTGGTCCGGCTATAATCAGAAGGGTTGTAGACAATTTTGTTCCGGATGAATTCAGTCCCAATCCCATTCCACGGCACATAACCGATGCGCTTGATTTAGAGGTTGGTTATACATTCTTAGTCATCCATCCATAAGAGGAAAAGAAAAAGCTCTTATAAAAAATGACTGAATTAGTTGAGGTAAATGAGTGATTTTGCAGGAGAATATATCAGAAGAGTTGATCAGCAGCATCCCATGCACGGCAGGCGGCACTAAATACATACCTCTGCCTGCAGCTGTAGTTATTAGGTGTTTGGGAGAAGTTGGAAAGCAGAGCAGCCGGTTATGGTCACACACGAGCAATGATGAGGTTGATGAGGTTGATGAGGTTGAGTCTCCCTTGACTTCAATTATTCCGGATAGCCACCATCCCACATCGGCTTTAGCCAGACTCAACTTGATGCCTAAGGAAAAGATCATGCGCTATCAGCTGCTTCGTGCGATATATGAAAATTAGCTATAACATCTTTTATGTGTTCTATATGTAGGACACCGGACCATGTAGTAAACTCTTAAAAAATTAAGGGGTATGGAAATTTCAAGTTAAAACTTTTGGACGTGTACCTTCATTGTGGGTTTTGGTGTTACAATTTACATAACCTTAAGGGCGTGTTTCTATAAAAATATATCCACTCAAGGAGACTGAGTTTTTTTTGTTAATCATAGTTGATTTATTTTTATTGTTTTTTTTTTTTTTAAAAAGTGGTATAATTAATTGATAGTGAAATTTTAACTTTATATCAAAATATTACTTAGAATAAATTAATTAAAGTTGATTTGATGTAAAGGTAGAAGAGAGATAATGTGAAGTGGTATTAAAAAATAGGACTTTTATCAATACAAGACTCCAAAGATGGGTAAACTATCAATGCGGGGCTTGAAAAATTTTTTTTTCTCAATTCGGGACTTAAATGTTATAAAACTATAAAATTAAAGACTCGAAAGATGGATAAACTATCAACGCGGGACCTGAAAGATTTTTTATTTTCTCAATTCGAGACTTAAATGTTATACACCTATCAAATTAAGTCTAGAATTAACAAAACTCACAACACTATTAAATTTAGAGTTTAAAAAAAAATAAAAATAAAAGATTGGTGTTTACTCACATAAAATAATAAGTAAACATTTGCATAATATTAAAAAAAAAGAAATGGACGATAGCAAGAAAACCGAGCAAGAGCTTCATACTTTCCTTAATTTTCTCCAACAATCTCGTATTTTCCTTAATTTTCCTTAATTTTCTTTATTTTTCTTTTTCTTTTTTTTACTTTGTAACAAATTTGGTGTTTTAAAACTTCAAATTATCTCTCAATTTAATGGTGTTATGAGTTTTGTTAATTCTAGGACTTAATTTGATAGTTTTATAACATTTAAGTCCCGAATTGAAAAAAAAAATCTTTCAGGCCCCGCATTAATAGTTTACACATCTTTCGAATAGTAAAAAATCTAGAATTATTTAATTATGGTTAAGTTTAAGAAAAAGTTGTATAGTTAGTTGTTAGTGGATATATTAAAATAGTATTTAAAATAAAATAGTTAAAGTTGATTTGATGTAAAAGTAAGAGAAAATGATTGGAAGTGATAGTTAGTTAAAATTAGTTAAAATTATGTGAGTAGATGAATAGTGAATTAAAGTTGATGTGATATGTAATAATAATTTGTTGATGTTATTTAATTATATAATAATATTGAAGATAGTGTGGTTGAGTTAAAGTTGAGTTAAATTTGAATTTGAGTAAAAACAATTACTGTACAAATGGTAAACAATCACCCCCTATAGAACCATCTGATGATTTTATATGCATCCATAGAAAATCATCAACGACATTAATAAAAAGTTAAGATAACTATGGCCACTAAGAATTAGAATATTTTGAACAGTTAAGGAATACTCTATAAACTTTTGCAAGTAAATAAATAATTAGTACTCTAGATTTTTGCATAAGCCACCGACTCAGTTTGCCTATAAATATGTGTGGTCTACCATTTTGGTGTGTGCACGAAAATATAACTTGGAGTGCGTGCTTGAGTGCTGACAAAAGAAAAAAGAGTGCATTGTGTAGTGTGAGTTAACAGTAATACATTGTGTATATAATAAAATTAATTTGTTGTTTTAATATTGAGTATATTGGCCAATTTATTCTCAACACGTGGTATCAGATCCACGTTCTGAGAGTTCAAGATCGTGCCAATATATTCAGGGCTCATCATTAGTTGTCGTCAACCAAGGGAAGATTTTTGAGTTCAAAGACATCGTGCACAATTTAAAAAAAATAAAATAAAATTGTGAAGCGCGTGAGGCTTGCTTAGTTACATGGAGGTATTTTAAGTCATGATGGCGGATCTACACTCAGTAGCGGAATGGAGAAACTCGATAATCAAAATTACGCCACATGGAGGACATGTATGGAGTCGTATCTCCAAGGCCAAGAACTGTGGGAAATTGTTGGCGGATAAAAGGTCACACCACCTGAAGAAGTCCGGCCTTACTTAAATGGAAGATAAAAGCGGGAAAGGCCATGCATACACTCAAGACTACGATTGACAAAGAGTTGTTGGAGCCCATACGGGACGCAAGCCCTCCAAAACAGGCGTGGGACACCCTTGGAGCATTATTTTCAAAAAGAATGAGTTCAGGATGAAACTTCTCGAGAATGAGCTCCTGTCACTCAAGCAAGGGGAGATGACAGTACACGAATAGTTTAACAAGGTACGAACTCCGTAATGCCCCGTTATTTTAAGGAGAAAAATTCTGAATATTTTTCTAAAATCAGAGTTAAATTTTCGCAAATCATTTTAAAAATAATGAGGCATTACTCAACTTGTCTCATGTAAACAGTTTAAGCTAACACTTAACCAATGGAGAATCAACCATCCCGTATAAACATCTCATGCCAATAGATAAACATGTTTCAATAGGTAATTCGAACATGAAAATATCCAAGTTCACAATTTCAAAACATGCATAATAATCCAAATACATGGTCCAGTCTCCAATATCAATAATTTAACAAGTCTAGCAATGAAATCAATAATTATAAATATGCGAAAGCAATAACAGTTCAAAGCAACAAATAAATATGACCCCGCCTCGCTCAACTTTCGCTGCGACTACCAGCTCAACCTGAAAAGGGGAAAATAGTGGGAGTGAGCGACCAACATGCTCATTGTGAGAATATCATGCAGTGTATTTAACATAATAACTTAAAATCATAATTGCAGCATGTACACAAATCGTCTAGTCTACCTTCTAACTTCCCTATGCTCATGTTATCACTTCTAGCCGTCGGAACACCATCAATGGGAGCTAAACCGTCAGAACTCCATCAACGGGAGAAAACTCTCTAAAGGCTAAAGTAGGAGACGACGGGAATCCATCAACGAAGATAACCCTCTCATATACTAACGGTTCACATGTATACATTGATTATCAAGCCAAGTAATTTTATTAAATGACATATACGGTTGATGAGCCAAAATAACTGACTAACCGAGGTTGCCGGTCGAACCGCCTCATCTCGATTGTGTGATAGTTCGGGCGTCTCGATTGCCTTTGTCTTTAAGAACCGGATCGACCTGCAAAGCGCCAGGGTTGGGCCCCGGCGTAGACACTCCGACGCTCAAGTTAGAATACGGATATTTTGATCTTGTATTCTTAATTAATCTTAAGAGCTTGGGATTAGAAAATAAACCTGGTCCCTTATTTATAAGGGGTTTAATGACTTACTCCCAAGATAATGAGTTTCATCAATAAATCAGAATTCTGATGTTCCTCAATAACTGTGTAGATATACACCAACTTTCATGAATATCTTTAACTAATACTGTGTATCTCGTAAATTAAGCTCCAACCTCTATCGAACCGGCCTTATCCGAGCTAACCGGTCAGACTGATCCACCGAGCTATTTCTGGTGCTACATCATCTATACCCCCCACTCTAGACGAGCTTATGAATATAAGACTTGTCCAAGAGTAGAACAATCATGTCCCCCCCACGTCTATATCATAGAACTATGGCGTCGAGGTCCTGGACTCGTTTAGGCTCCACAGTTTACCACGTCGGAGTTCTACAGTCTTTTGCATGCAACTATGGCTCCCGGGCCAACTTTGCACTTTTCTTGACTATGTGGCCCCCGAGCAACCTACTCGATGTTCTGCCACCTTAAAACGTTGGACAATTGCGCTATCTGCTTGAGTTGCAACGATGACTCCTGTATCTACGACTTTCAGGAGGTGATGTCTCTTCATACGTAAGCTCTCTAATAAGGTTGAGTATCGAGGCAGAGCTAAAGGTAGGCTAGTTCACAAATCATGGCCTGAGAGCTCGTCACTAACACCTTACATCATCCAGCTCGTTGAAAATGCACGCAGGTCTGAAAACCTACTCCCAAATGCCGCGATCTTTGCATATCGCTAGTTCGAACTACTCACCCTTTATATTGGCTGCGAGTTGGAAATCTTACCCGAGCTCTATGAGACCGGGCACATCCACTGCGGGCTATTCTACCGAGCTACACGAGCTCGGGCACGCTACTACGGGCTAATTTCCATTGATCTAGTTACAAGTCAAAGGACCCGCTGTCGAGCTTCGCTAACTCGAGCAATGCCACGACAGGCTTTCGCCCTAAATTTGTCTACGAGTCTAAGGACCCACTGCCGAGCTCTGCGAACTCGGACAATATTGCGACAAACTTTATCCATAAAATTGGCTATGAGTTCTAGGACCCTCTACAGAGCTTATAAGCGCAATAATACTGCTGAGCTTATAAACACGAAGATACTGCCGAGCTTATAAAAACAAGGACTATCCTTTCCTAATGCAGCATCGAGTTTAACATCATGCCGGGCTAGGATAAGCTCGATAATCGTTCGGATTGGTCACCTGCCGAGCCTCTCGAGCTTAAGTGATGATGTCTCAACAGGCTTTTGCTCTATCTTCACCACCACCGAGCTCCGTAAGCTCGAGCGACGTCTTCAACAGGCTTTCGCCCTATCTCGATCACCGCCAAGCTCCACGAGCTCGAGCAACGTCTTCAACAGGCTTTTGCCCTATCTCGATCATCGTCAAGCTCCGCAAGCTCGGGCGACATCTTCAATAGACTTTTGCCCTATCTCGATCACCGCCGAACTCCACGAACTCGGGCGGCCTCACCAACAGGCTTTCATCTCGATCACCTGCTGAGCTCCGCGAGCTCGAGCGACGTCTTCAACAGGCTTTCATCTCGATCACCGCTGAGCTCTGTAAGCTCGAGCGACGTCTTCAACAGGCTTTCATCTCGATCACAGCTGAGCTCCGCGAGCTCGAGCGACGTCTTCAATAGGTTTTCGCCCTATCTCGATCACCGTCGAGCTCTGCGAGCTGGAGCGACATCTTCAACATGCTTTCACCCTATCTCGATCATCGCTGAGCTCTACAAGCTCAAGCGATGTCTTCAACAGGCTTTCGCCCTAAA